TTGTAGGTACTAGAAATTAATTGCAAAGGCATAATTTTGCACTGTTGATAACATGTGTAATATCTAGTAATGTATAAGCACATGAACCTTTATAATACTTGTTTATAAAATAGATTTACTATGCAAATTAGTAAGTACTACTCATTTAAAATTATTTTATATAATATACAAGTTTATATTATCTCTTATATTATGTTGGTAAAATRCATATAATGTAGATTGCTGTCGAGGACAATATTTTTCAAATAACATATTAATATTTATGAACATAATTATTGTTCATTATTATTGTTAATTTAATGAAGTTTATTTTTTTTTTTTGTCTGAGTCATGTTTTGGTATGGAAAATTTGCTTCAATCTTCCACATTGATCTTAGGTCATTTTTATGTCAATTTTATATTCATAAGGTCATTTTCTTTAGGTTTTCTAGGTCATTACAACCTAGTCCTACACTACTAGCACAGATAGTAATATAAATATAATATAACACAAACTCTCCATAKGAATATATGCTGATCCCGTCTCTTTTGCTCAAAGTTGTGTATCATATAATACAATAATTTATCATTGAATTTAAATTATTTACACATCCATTACAGTTACCTACTTAATGACTAAACTATTGACGAGGTACACTTGATAACAATAATACAGCAAAGCGAGTTCTCCTACTTTTAAAATTAGTTTGATAAATAATTTCAAAATGATTTTTATGTAGGTTCTGTTTTATTACTCAATCGTGAATTCATGATATTTTAGAATTTTTGGTTATTATGTTTATTCATAAAATATATTTACTTTTATGTAATTCATTTAAAGACATATGACTAATTAAAAATCCTTCAATCAATTAATATAATTGTTGTAAGTTTTCAAAGAAATTTTAATTCAAAATAAACTACCTAGCTACCTATCAATAAATAAACACAATAATAATTATAGTAAACAATTATTGTAGTATATTTTAAAATTTCATTATTAAGCTGATAATTAAATTAATAATTATTTTTAATTGTACATAATATACTTTAAGCATAAAGTGCATCACCATATTATGAACTATACAACTATTCTGAAATAAAAAAACCTAATTTA